GCATAGTAGATACTTAGGCCTTGTTTAGATGCCATCTAAATTCCAAGTTTTTTCACTCTCTCTCCATTATATTAATTTTTAGCCGCTTGCATGGGGTATTAAATGTAGGTAAAAAAAATAACTAATTACACAGTTTAGTTGGAAATCACGAGATGAATCTTTTGAGCCTAGTTGGTCTACGATTGGACAATATTTATCAAATAAGACGAAAGTGGTACTATTCATCAGGTTCAAAAAATTTGCAAAGAGAACAAGGCCTTATTCAGTAATAAATAAACTGAGTAGCCCCAAATTTTCAATGATGACAAAAATATATTAGATTTGTACATAAACGAAGCCATTTTGAGAAGCACATAATTGGTAAACGGATCAAGCACCCTGGAGATTTGTGTGCTCCACTTGCAAAGCACAAGTCCACAAGTGTCAAACAAATAGTTAGGCCCCTGCAGCTCCAGCTCTCCTGGAAGGCGTCCCTACAAAGGACGTTGGTCTGCTTAGCGCCCAGTACTCGACTCCTCCAGGCAGTGGGTAACACAGGGCACGGGAGCCCGGCGCGGTGGACTGCGGGCGCGCGGTGCGGGAGACCGGTGCGGCGGGCGGCAGGCGGCAGGGGGCCGGCGTGGCATCCGGCGGCCGGCGCAGCACGCGGGAGAACGGCGCAGCGCGGCGCAGATGAGCAGCATCTCCCCGCTCCCGTCTATTTCCATGGGAATAAAGCTGAATGTTCTGCAGAAAAATTGTGAGAGCCATCAGATTCTCTTTGGACAGTAGATAGGGGGCCGAAAGTTACATTGTGACTTGCTAATCTGAGTCCCAACCTCCCACCACGCAAGCCGCCACCCGCCAGAAGAAGCAGCGACCCGAGCCGCCCACGGTCACCGGTTCTTCGTCCAGGAGGCTGGAGCTGCCCGTGCGTCATGATCGCTGGTTCTTCGCCCATGAGCGTGAGAAGGCATAGCTGCCCCGATGCGCACTACCAACAAGGGCGAGCGTCATGCGTTAGCCCGGATCAAGCCAGGGAATGGCAGCGACGTCGCTAGCCACTCGGCCGTCGTCCCGACGACCGGTTCAGGCAGCTGTGCTAGGTGGTGGGATTTGGGGGCACAGAAGTGGCTGTGGATGCCCCTCGCCCTGCCATCCATGTCGGGCAGGTGCGCGCGGCTCAGACGGAAGAGGGGATGGAACGCAATCAAGATGATGAACAGTGAAGAAGCTAACTAGCCGTTGTTGATACTCCCTCCATCTGACGTTTGACTTTTTGTCTCAAGTTTGACCACTCGTTTTATTCAAAAAAATTATGCAAATATAGTCAAATTTAAGTCATTCTTGAAGAATTTTTATTAATAAACCAAACCACGACGAAAGAAGTGATATTTTACACAAATTTTTGAATAAGACGAGTGGTCAAACTTGGTGTCAAAAAAGTCAAACGTCTTACAATTTGGGATGAATTGAGTACATGTAAACACTTTGCATACAAATTTTTTTTCAAAATCATAGAAAAATAATGGTACATCTGAATATTCTGAAACTTGCTATGTACCTTTGCTATGTGCCGCTCTCCAATCCAAAATTACGAACCAACAACATAGTGTTTATGATTAATTAATTCGTATAAAACAAACTATAGAACAAAAAAAAAATCCTGAAAGCACTTACATTGGCCACTGCTCTACCTATTTCTTCCAAGTTTAGGAAAAGCTAAGTAATATGCTTGTGCTTGATTCAAGGAATCCTACCTAGCTAATCTTTAATTAGAATAATAAAGCCACATTGTCATTTCTCATTTGCATATTATTAAATTTTAAATCTGAACCAAATATACCATTGCCCAATAGGCAAGCGATACAGTATTTTGCCTTTAGAGCATCTGTAATTTTTTTTTCATAAACTCATTCTCTAAATCATTATTTGGAGCCATATAAATAATAGTCATTTCATATATCTTTTCACCCTCGAACAACTTTTCTATACCTTGTGAGCACTCTTGCTCTCCATATTTGGCTAGTGAGAAATCCAAAATAGGAGATGGCTATATTCGGAAATCTAATTAAACAAGCTGGTTGAAGATTTTTTTCCCCACCAAAATCTCTATTCCTAATTTTTAGAAGGATACAAAGAGGCTTTTAGAGTTAATCTTACATATTTGGATCATCAACTGTCCTATAACTGAAGATGAGCGTCAAGTAGTATTCAATATTCAAGGGATATAGTAGCCGGCTACAAAAATAAGTTATTCTGTAGCCACCTCTATTTACGATAATTTTATATACTAATTTACGATAATGTCAATACATATTTACGATAGTTGGGTTACTATAACACATGGGGATATTTACCATAACGTTATAGTAAACCACTTAGTAAGGAGTTACTATAATCTCGTAAATTAACATAGTAATTATCGTAACTCAAAGTGGCTACACAATAACGTAGCTGGCTACAAAAATAACTTATTCTGTAGCCACTTTGAGTTACGATAATATATATATATATATATATATACCCCATTAACCATTATCCATATTATGTGTTATCCGCTATCCCAAACTTTAATTTGTTTTGTTTATGGCTGATCTAGATATTTAATTACATGAACTACAAGATCAACATTGGGAGACTTAGAGATGGCATGGAACACAAAATTTGATTTATTTTATACCTAACCTAGCTATCCAAACAAAGGAACTTCAAGATCACAAAGGTTAGCTCAGATGGCGCAGCAACGCCGCGCCCCCAAAATTTCTAGTTAGATTAGATGTTCATTATAGGTGCCGGTGTCACGTGTGCAAATGATTCATTGTTTCAACTCCGTCGATAAACAGAGTTTGTGATGCTTGCATCACATTGTTTTGGAGCTGTACCTTTGTCAATGTTCCTCTTTCAGTAATTAGTAGGTAAAGTTGTACCGTTGTTGAAATTGTAACAGATTTTTTTTAAAAGAGATTAACTCTGCTTTTTAAGAAAGCATAAAAGAGTTTTTACAACCGGGGATGCCAATTTGACACTTCAAGACATAGCAGCAACCCTTGCTAAACGATAGAAAAAGAAAAAACAGCCACCAAGGATAACGCTCTTGAACACACGACTGAAAAGAAAGGGACCGACAGATTAACACAACGTCAGAGCACACGTCTGGAACATCAGTCTTCTTCCTGGTCGGATCTTCCAAGCATTTGACAAGATTCTTCATGGTTCCTTGGTCATTTTCTTTGAGCAAGTTGCCCCACATCTGCATAAATTTGATAGTTTTGTAAATCACCGTAGCTGGGTTAGATGGAAAGACTTTTTCAATCGCCAACTTGTTTCTATTCTTCCAAATCGCCCAAGCCAACCCTACAAAGAAGAAAAACACTATCCTTTGAGGGATGCCCAGCCTCCTTGGCTGCTTTTTGCAGAGAATTTCCAAAATATATGTTGGAAAATAAGTCCACCCAAATGCATCTCTAATACAACACCAAATAAATTGAGCCATCACACATTCACAAAAGACATGATTGACAGTCTCAGGCATGTTACACAAACAACAAAGGTGGCTCCCATGCCTACCTCTCCTCTTAGGTGCTGTGGCAGTCTGAAGTTTGCCATGAAAGATTTGCCACATAAACACCCTGATCTTTAGAGGTACCCTACTTTTCCAAATCAAGTTACAAACATAGTCGAGGAATGCACCCCCCCACCCCACGAGTTACGGCATAGTAGAGAGATAGAGAGATTTAGTAGTAACAGCATTAGACTTATTCAGAACCCATTTCACATCATCCTCTCTATTATCATCAAGCGCCATGTTCGCTTGAGCTTGTTTGGCTTATAAGCCGTACTTTTTCAGCCAACGAACAATATTTTTCTCTCACACCAAATCAGCCAACAGTACTTTCAGCTATGGCTTATCGGCCAAGCCCAAACGAACAGGGCGAAGATGAACAGATTCCAGAATAGATAACAAAGACTCCCATTCCGTGACCAGTTCCCCATGCAAGCTTCTTCTGAAAGGAATAACCCAATCACTACCATCCCAAGCCTCATTAACCCACATGTTGGGTTCAGAACATATGTCAAACATGTTGTTACCTGGATCTTCAGAGACATTCCTCCAACCCATGAGTCATGCCAAAAACGGGCTTTATTTCCCTTAAAGACTCTATATTCAGCTCCACATTTCAAAAAGTGTTTAACTTTGTGGAGGCCTTTCCAAAATTGAGAGGACCCTTTGACGTCAGACCCAAAGAAATTATTATGCTGCATGTACTTAGCCTTCAAAAGTTAAAACCACAGGTCATTAGAACCTTTCTCAATCTTCCAAATCCATTCGGTTAAGAGACATTGGTTCATAATTTCTGTACTAATAATACCCAAGCCTCCATGGATCTTAGGCTGACAGATAGATATCCATTTAGCCATATGGTGCTTAAAATTATCATCAGCTCCTCTCAAAAAAAACCTAGACCATATAGTATCCATTTTGTATGAACCCCCTTTGGTAAAGCATGAAACCCCATTACATACATTGGAAGGCTGCTCAAACAAGTACTCCGTATTTGTCAAGATCAGCTTGCCCCCGGAGGTCATAAATTTCGCTTTCCAGGGAACCAGTCTTTTGTACATTTTACTGCAGATCCCTTGAAAGGCCCCAATCCCTAACACCTTGTCAGAGATGAGAATCCCTAAGTATTTCATTGAAACAGAATCAGTGAGAGTCAAGACCATACTTGCACATTGATGCATCCGTTTACAGTTTCAGCTCGCAAAGGCATCAAATTCAAATTAAATGAAATCTAAGACCCGCCGAAATATAAACACACATAGTAATAGAAGTATACAACACTTCGTTTCAAAAAGAAGTATAGAACACTTGCAAATTCTAACATCTCTGCAATCTAAAACAACTTCATTAGAGCCCATGAGTGTAGCATCTCTGCTAGCTAGGCCACCACAACTTGGTTTTGCTAACTGAAGAAACACGCAGCCGGAGCCCATGAGTGCGTGCGGTGCAGGTGCAGCTATGCAACGCGAACCAAGAACGTTGTTGGCATGGGAAGCATGGTGGGTTCCGGCGCGGCGACGACGAAGCCCGGTCCAGCGTACATGGCCCGTGGCTTCCATAGTATATCCTCCTCCGTGTCGTCCATGTCGTTGCTGCCAGTACTGCTACTCTCGCCGTCGTCGAGTGCCTCGGCCTGTGGCAGGCGACGCTTCTCGGCGGACGACGCGCGGCTGATCGTCGTCCACTTGCCTGAAGACGACGACGACGAAGCTGGGCTCGCTGCCTTCTTGTGCGCGTCCCACCTCTCCACGGAGTCCGCCCGGCCAGGCTTGGGCGGCGGCGAGGTCGTGTTCTTGCACGGACATCCGTGGCCGGCGCTGCTTCTGACGCTGTCGGCGGAACGAGGGCCTGATGATGCTGAGACTGAGGGTTCTGCGCTAACTGGCTTGGTCTTGCGCGCGTGCCACCTCTCGTCGGAGTCGGCGCAGCTGGGCTTGGCGAGCAGCTTTGCTTGGAGGATGGCCGTGACGCACGGTGGTGGCGTCGGGAGCAGCGGTAGCATCTTCCACTTGGGCGGGGTCGGGAGCAGCGCGGGGAGAGCCGCATGTGCCATGGCGAGGTGCACGCGGGCGACCGGGATCGCCATGGATCTTCGATGCAGGCGCGCACATGGTCACGCGGCACGAGGCACCAGCGAACGAGAAGCGGCGTCGCAGGTGAGCTGGGCGAGGCGGAGAGGATGGACCGGCCGTGGCAGAGCAGCATCCGTGAGATATATAGGCACAGGGAATGCGTCGCTCGGAATGGGCGAGCGCGGTGAAGAAATCTCAGGTACAATAGAGGTGAGTCGGAGTCGGAGCTCAGGTCCGTGTCGCCGCCGCCGCCGCGTGGGCGCCACGCCATATCTGTCCGCCAGCCGATATCTTCCTATAGGCCAACCGTCAGCCGACAGGAATCTGTCGGCCTGTACCTATCGGCCGTCCAGGAGACGCGGGCACGGCACTGAGGCTACCGAGCCAAGCAGCCCTCAAGTGTTCGAGTTCGACGGCGCGCCCATTGTTCAGGCCACGACACAAGTGGCGTCAGCATCAGACCACGTAGCCGACTCGCCGCCGCTGGCATCCGTTCCCGGTCCTGCAGGATGGTTGCTCCGCACCCCGCGGCCGCATGCACGCGAGACGCGACGTCATCCGTCGTCGGCCGCACTGTTGGTCCGTCAAGACGCCGAATAGTGAACGCGTGAGCTGCGGCCGCGACGCACGACACGTACGTCCGCCGCCGCCGCCGCCTCTGCCTTTGCCTGAGACCACGGCGCCGCAGGACAGCAGAGCCGAGCTCAGGGAAGATAGCTGGGGCTGCGATGACCCGGTTCTAGCCAGTGATCAGCCTCTCCGCATAAGCCCCACAGTTAACCATCATCAGTGATGCTAGATGCCTAGATGGGAGAGGAGACGATGGCGGGCTTGTCTGTTTCTAAACTTTAAACTTTAGTTCCCTGTCACATTAGATGCTTTGACACATGCATAGAGTATTAGATATAAACTAATTACAAAACTAAATGCTTTATCACAAAGTTTTTATTGTAACTTTATATCTATATTTTTTTAATTAATTCATAGTTGCGGTTCTCTAGTCCAATTGTTGTGAATTTTTATGAAGGGTTAATCATTACATGCTTGAGCTGTAGTAAAAATTTCATGCTCATTGGATCACGTACGATTGAGTTATACATTTTTTCTAGGTATATATTTGTTAAATAGTTTTTAAAAGAAATTGAATCCATAACTCAGTCATATATGATTCAATAAGCATAATTTTTTTTGTTGAACGTCACATGAATAGATCCACGTAGTAAACATATGATATGGCATGTTTTAGTACAAAGTATTTGCTGTAGCTTTAGAGATAAGCTTTTCTGTAATTAATTTATATCTACAGTTCTATTGTCAATTATGGTGAAATTTTGACGATGGGCTAATTCATTGAATGCTTGAGATGTAAAAAAATCATGCTCATTGGATCATGTACCACTGAGTTATAGTTTTATTTAGATAAAACAAGATAATTCGACAAGTCAGTCATATATGATCCAATGAGCATGAAATTTTTTCTTTAGGTCAAGGATGTAATGATTAGTCCAGAATAGAAATTTCACCACAATTGGACCAGAGAAACTGCAGATATGAATTAATTGTAGAAAAACATAGATCTAAAATTACAACAAAAAATTTATGATAAAACATAGTATATCATATGTTCACTGTGTAGATCTACCCATGTCAAGTTCAACACAATTGGATTTTTTATTTTATGATTTTTCAATGATTTACCATAATTTTTTAAAGATTAAGTTGAAATAAACATATAAAAGCAAAAAAGAAAAGCAACCATGGAATGTTTTAGAATATAGGGAGGAAAAGCTTACTTTCGAAATAGTTGAGGGAGGCAAAATAGACTTTTTCCTATGTCTCCTACAACTAAAAAGATCAAAGTGTGAATATTTTTTGGTGCGACATTTGTTTTGGTTCGTCCATCTGTCAACGCCTGCGATCCCATGACATTTCCCGTATACCGATTCTCCTTGATTGAATATTGTTTGTCATGTGATAGAGGAATCACGGTAAAATAGAAAGTAGAAAATTATTGTGCTATCCATATACACATTGTATGTTTGCATGCACCAGCATACATGGCAAGGAGCAAAAGAAAAAAGAATTAACACAGAAGGAAAAAGAATTAAGACAAAAGGAACCTCTTTGTATTTCTGAGAACCTTGCCAAATCTGCCTATATTTAATTACTTCCCCTCTTTACATTTGCAAAAGAGACATCTTTTTCCTCCTTTCATTTGGTTTCACGCTCACGTGTTTCATCGCCCTCGCTTGCTGCTTCTTGCTGAAATTGCCCTTGGGTCTGTTCATTTTGAATCATTTCCCCATATTCTAATTAAACTACAAAATTTTGAATTAGGATACAGGATAAGAAATGCAAACAGATATTTCAAAATGACCTATAGAGTCCAAAGAACTTAATAAATAAATTTTTCTGGAGGCAATGCAAATTCTCTTTAATCTTTCATTTGGTATAGTTAGTGTTATCATAATACCCGCATGTATTCATAGAAAATAAATCGTAGATAAAACGTGGACACTTTTTGGTGCGACATTCCAACATGGGTCCAATGTCCTGCCAATATCCTTGAGGTAGATCACATAAAGGATGAGATTCCCTCTATGAGATTGCTCACAAGAGACTCAAACTTATATCTGATCATGGTAATGTTGAATTGCTTTGCATCAAAAGCATCAGCAATGATAAACGGAGACATAGGGTTTAGTATGCATAGTGAAGGAAAACTCAACTTTAGTCTTCTCAGCAGCTTTTCTGAGCCTTTGCAATGCTAACTTGTCCTTACTCAGATAGTCAAGAGGTGCACCATAAAATTATGTACCATTAAGAAAAGTGTCACCATTGGTTGCCTTGACCTGAAAAATATGTCAAAATTAAGAATTACAACACCTAATTTAACATCTTGGAACAGACACTCAAATGGATATATTATTCTATAATATATGTCTGTGTGGAATAGTACTAAAGCCACACATATTTATACGATGAGTATAACATACTTTGTTTTAAAATTTTATGAAAGATTTTTTAAGACACGCAGTATTATGCATGTGACATACACTAATATTTACATATATACTCGAACCTATGTGTACATGATTATATGGAGATGCAGCGGAACTTATTCATGGATTTATTGACGCATGAAAGAAATGGATATCAGAGAATTCTTTCTGCCGATATAAAATATTATCTTAGATATATCACGAAAAAGTCTATACAGTAGAGTTTGTGAGCCTGTGACGCCACGCTCTCTGTGACTGTGTTAATTTCACGAACTTTGCTTTTTGAATTAAATATCACTTTAACGTCGGTATTTAATTTAACAGTATTGTTATCTTATCGCGTGATCCGTGTGTTTTTAGTACAAAAGATTTAGTTGTCCCGTAGCAACGCACGGGCACGCTACCTAGTATAAATACAATCGCAAACTCTCTCTCGCGCCCCGTCGCGCGGAGCGTGGATGACCCGACATGGGCCGGCCCACCTCTCCCTCTCCCTCTCCCTCTCCTACGTGATAGAGTCGTTGAGCACCTGCACGGCGCAGTCGTCGGCGAGCAGGCAGAGGTGGAGCGGGTGCACGAGCATCAGCAGCTCCCCAGGCTCGTCCTTGCGCCAAGCGTAGTCGACGCAAAAGGGCGGTTGAGCACGGCGTGGCCGGCGGTCGGGAAGCAACGGCTGTACCGGTCGAAGACCGGCTCCATAGATGGCGTCAAGGAGGTAAGCGACCTAGATGGCGCCGGCGAAGGCTGCAGAGAGCTGCGTGGTGGTGGCCTGCACGATGTGGACCGGGGCCGACGCAAGGGAGGTGTGGCTGCGAGGAGGAAGACGAGCGTGGGCTAGAGCCAGGTCGTGCTCTCCCCTAAGCGCGCGACCGGTCACGCTCAACCCCGAGCACGCAACCTGTCGCGGCGTAACCACGTCATCATTTGGACGGTGTAGTTGCCCCATGGCAAGAACCATCAGCAGGACTGATGATTAAAGAATCTAGACACGGCCAATTACACAATCTAGTCCATCAACCATCGGGTTACAGCCTTGTAGCGCTTATACAATCCTATGGGCAGGCATTGTAAATTTTAATATAAAGTTAGTGTAATCGAAATTAGTTATATTTATTTAAACTATCTCAAGATTCATTTTCAAACCAATATATAATACACCGGAGAAAATTTTCTATTTGACACTAGAAAAAATTCCGTTTGACTATTTGACATCTAAACTTCCGTCTCACTTGTCATCCCTTCCATTTTTTTATTTCATATTTTTTTTAGAAAATGGAAAAGTTCCGGCCTCTACAATCGACACAGCCAAGTCTTACAATGTTGCCAGCTTATTTGCTCACAAAATAAAGAAAAAGAGTGTACTCAAATAGGCTCACAAAATAAAGAAAAAGAGTGTACTCAAATAAGAGAACATTATAAGCAAAGTCTATTGTTACTTACTTTGCCATTCATTACTTTAGAGGGATAAGGGTGCTAAGTTCCAGATGAAAAAACCATTTTACCCCTGTTGTAACGTTTTCCAGTGGTAGTGGATGTAATTTAAAAAAAGGGTAACATGAGGGTTGGAAATAAAAATACTAGAAATAGACAGCAATAGCCTCCGAAAGCAACTGGAAAAGGAACAACGTGGACAAAACGGTCTTTTCATCTAGGACTTAACACCGTTAGCACTCTAAAGTAACAAAAGTGTTAAATAGAAAAAAATGAATGGGGTGTCAAACAGGAAATATTTTAAGTTTGTGTGTCAAATAGGAGGTAAAAGTTTTTCTTGTGTCAAAAGGAAATTTTCTCGTGGTGTTCATCAGCATGTCTATATAGGCCATGTTTGGATAGCATCTGATTATAATAATCAAATATATATAATCAAATTTTGATACAAATAAGATTGATTATGTCGGTACAGAAAGTGACCAACTAGTGAATATTTGTAGTTTTACTGTACGTTGTGATCGGAGGTGGCCTAGCACTCAATGACACAG